TGCCATGGGAACAGTGGCAGGGCATTCCGGTCACTTGAAACCTGTTTGTCCTTTGAAAGGAACTGTTTTAGCTTGTGTCAAAATGCCCTATGTTCTTTTAATTGGTGAAGAAAATATTTCTATGAATGGTTCTATGTTTAATGTATCATATCTTAATTGCATTTTTCAAATGGATAATCATACTCGTGTAATAGTGTTAAAACATCCTCTTTTGTAATATTGCCAGTATATATGAGTGATCCATGGTTTGATGATAAAGGGTTACAAGTGATTGAAGAAATCAAGAAAGCTTTAAGCATACAGAAGTGTGTTGCTCAATTAGTTATAACAGGAATTGCAGCCTTTGTTACTATGCTTGCTACTACTATGGTTGTTTCAGTGGTTTTGTATCAATCCATTCATACAGCAGGGTTTGTTAATCAATTGTCTATGAATGTTTCTATGACATTAGAGACTCAAGAAGATGTAGATGTGAAAATGGAACATAAATTGAACACTTAATATGATGTGGTACTATTTCTGGGAGATGAGCTCCAAAGTCTGAAAACTAGACTACATTTGACATGTCATTCTAATTATGAATGGATTTGTGTTACACTTCAACCTAAGACAGGATGTGAATGGTGGAATTTATGCTCCCATGATGGGTAAGATTGGTGTGTGGTAAGGAAACACCTAAGACAGGCACGGTCATCTGAGAGACTCAGTGGAGTCTTAAAATAAATAAAAAAGGAGGAATTGTGGGAGCCCACAACTGACTCAGTCTCCCAGTTTGAATCTGAAGTATATTCTGAGTCAACAGAGTCCAAGCTTGCTTGCTCCAGGGCTGCGAGAAAGTCCTGATTAGCCCACAGGAAGGAACACACTATCTAGCTAGACACAGGCTGCTGATGCCAGCCGGAGGTCCATTGAGATAGAAAATGAAACTGCCTGCTCCTTGATGCAAGGCAGGATAGATAGTGGTTGAATGTCTGTGCTGTGCATTGTTCTACCTCTGTCCTTGAAAACTGTATATAAGTTGGCTGTGAAATAAATTTGGGACTGTCCAGCATTGACTGGTAGATCTCTCAACTCTTTTCTGTCTTCTTCATTGTCTTTATAATCTGTATGCCTCTGTTTAGCTACCCAGCTGACTGTCAGCAGGCTCTGACAAGTGACTATACAACACAAGGTCAGGACATTGTTTTAAGCAGTGCTGGTCTCTAAAAGCAGCAGATCAAACAACCACTATGGAAGCTCACTTCATTGACCATTGTTCAATCAGTACATATACACAAGTCTATACATTCAAATCTGGGGGTAGGGGGTGTGCAGAAACTGTACATGCCATGTATATATTAAACACAGTAGTGTATGATTTATAGCAGAGAGGAGATTTATATATATATTTTTTTCAGAAGAATCTCATGAATGAGATGCTCAGATGATAAAGAATACATATGAGCTGAGCCTGTCTTAAGAAAATAACAGATTAGTGCCCTTTTTGATTTGTTCTGGGGTATACATGTTGTTTAGAATACACTTACTTAAGTACCTGTAGACTGAACTTATATCTGTAAATGCTTATTTCCTGGTGGGCAAAGAGGTAAACTGCAAAAATTAATCACATAGGTATTATAACCCCAGGGTTTAGAAACTGGATTGTGTTTTCCCCCATGTTTTCTCAATTACTCATGCTTTAGACAGACTGAACTCTGAGCACATTCCCACTAACATGAACTGCAATGAGCAACCTCAACAGAGCAGACCTTGTAGATCCAAATTTTTACAATAGCAAGTTACACGGGTAGCCCTTCCTATTTTAACTTTCAAAGAGAAAACAAGTATTTGCAATACCATTATCACCAAAAATTAAAACCATGTCACTCTCTACATACTATTCCCTCTTTCTGATTTTATGTGTCAACAGATTCCTTCTGTATAGGGACCAATTTATACCCCTGCAGTCAAGTGAGGACAAATCTCTTTATACCCAGTAGTTTTGACAGCTAGTATTCCAGTAACTACAAGATTTCCAAACTCCCAACACAGGCTTTCTTATAGGAAACATTTCCTTACATCAGTCTAAGCCACAGAATGAAGTGATCACACATCAACAACAGAACTGGGGAACAGGTTCTCTGGGAGCTTACTACATGTATCTTGGCATGAATATCAGGTCTTCAGTGAAGGTTGGTAACCTTCTTCCCTGCACTATACTTCTATTCCTTGCTAACACCACCTCTACACTAAACACCTCTCTCTTCCAGAAGGAACAGGGCTGAAAGACCAGACTCTGGCGCAGCATTTCTTCATTGCTGTGACTCAAACCATTAAAATAGCAGGCATTAAAGACTGAACCTCAGTCCTAGTTACAAAGCTTCAAGGTCAACACATTCTAACAGCTTCCTATGTGCCTTTCATTCCTGGCATCAGCGCTTCAATATACTGGCAAGATTCCCCACATATATTTCATGGGGCTTAAATGGAAGCTCTCCCAACAAGTATAATGGGAGTTTTAAAAACATTCCTTTTACCTAATGCTGAGATCCATTTCAAAAGTGACCCAATGGGATTTTCTTTCAGGTAAGCTCATTGCTATGACATTCCAAAATGATATTAGAAAATAAATCCTCTGATGACTATATTATCAGTATCAGGACACAGAGAGTTATGCAGGAAAATGTCTTAGATATCTATAAATAAACCTTAAAAAAGAAAAAGAAAAAGCAGTAGGAGGAATGTGTGATGCTAAAGGAATTCAAAGACATCATACCTCCTTAGAGTTGAAATACACTCGTCTGACTATTGCAGCTAATATAAAAAGCAGGTTTGAGCCCAATACTGTGCTAGTGATAAATTAATCTTATTGTGCAAAGAAAAGCTGCAAATTTGGTCATAAGACAGCTTCTACCACTTTAAAATGTGCAACAGTAAAACATGTACATGATTAAATTCAGGCAAAGCAAAGCCATCTTGAGGATTACTCTCTCTAGAATTCAGGTGGAAGGAATTCTGCAGAGTTAACTCAGTGGCCCCAAAGTGGGTATGAGAGGACTAGAGCAGAGGCAGACCTCAGGAATGAAAGTTCTCTTCCCTTTCATGTTCCTGAGAACATGGTATATCTTACTGGAGACTTCACTTCTGAATGAGGGTTCCCTATTCTCTCAGCCAAGGAATTCAGGAGGCTGTGTAACAACAGCATATTGCTGAGCATCTGGAGGAACCAGGAAGCAGTGACCACACAAGGAAACTAGACAAAGGTGGAGTCAAGCCTAACCCAAATCCTAAGCCTTTGCTTGAATATGAGTATTTGAGCCTTAACTTCATAAAGATGCATCAGGAGCCAGAGATATGGCTCAGCTGATAAAGATGTTTGTCGATGAGACTGATAATCCAAGTTTTATCTCTGTAATCCACATGGTGGAAGGAGAAAACTGACTCCTGTGGCACATGTGATACACACACACAAATAAATGTAATAAAAAATTTGAAAGAACGTATTCAGAATTAGCAACAGCTTTACTGTATTTGGAGTGAAGTTTCCAAGGTTTTATAAACAGTTTGATACAAACACACTCCTATTACAAGTAAAAGAAGATGGATTGAACAATGTGCAAACACATGTAGGTATATTGTTTATTTCTACATGCAGTCAACCTTGAACAGAGCCAGAAACCCAATATACCCCAGTGGGAGCTAGAGGCTCAAAACTTGTGGTTCCCTTGGATGGAATTAAAGGTGTCTGAACTGAGCAGGGGAAAAAAGTATTCTTATTTTCAATAGTTTCTAATTGAAGTTGATATTTCCTTTAGTTATGAATGTACAAAAGAAATTGTTATGATGTTAGCATTACCCATGAAATGTCATTTTTGTGCAAAGTAGGTGCTGAGGATATATTTACAGTAAGTATGAGTTATCTGTAATGTATATAATTAAATATATATAATTGTATACATATGATTCCTTTGAAATAGAAAATATTTTACTTTACTTATTCATTAGAAGCATTCTGAGAAGAGAACCATAGCTTCACTAGATTGTCAAAGGAATCTACACAGAGTTGATGAACTAAAGAGAATTTGCTAGCAGATGAAAAGATAAATCACCCTTCTCCTAAGGCTCTACCAGAATGCTGCTCTGTGCTGTCCAAATAGATACAGCAAAAGATCCAGAATGACTAAGTTCTAGTCTCCAACTTAAATGCATTCTGGTAAGTTACTAACACAGCTGTTCATGCTTATGACACACCAGGGACTCTACTAAATACTTGGCAATATCACTTCTATATATACTACTATTGTACAGTGAAAAAAATTAATGTTAATGTTAAGAAAGTCTAAAAAACCCACTAAATTAATACATTTCCGGAAAACAGAGTATATGAAAACACTCCAGAAGCCATGGGAATTATATTTTTGAAAACATGGCTAACAGTTCCTATCCTACTTACCTCAGAAGAACTTTGTGAAACCCATCTGATTAATATGTGCATAACATATCAGATTTTAGATAGACTTTTTCACTTTTCAAAGTAAGTAATCAATATTTTAAAATTATAATCATCATTTTTGAGATTTTAAAAATACATCCAACTTTGAGTTTTAGAAATAGTATACATATAAGTTTCTATCAGTGGGACTTTTGAGTTATGTTCATATTTAGGTAGCAATGTAATTATCACATAGAATGGATAAAGGCCTGTCAAGGGATCTTTGTTAATGCAAGGTAATGACCCAATCAAATTATTACATGTTTGCCAGTGTTATGCCACAGGTCTTGAAACGTTTGCTCCCTTAAATGAAATATCTCTTCAATATGGCTATAGGTTTGTCTATTTAGCAACTTTCTACAAGGTAGGATTGGAACGGGAAAGCCAGTCTATGTCACCAGCCTGTGTAAAGTTCCATGCTGGAGTGATCTAAACAAACAAGGCTTAGTTAGCTAAACAAAATAAGCCTCTCTGCTTTTGTCCTCAGCAGCTCTGCAAGATCTCCTGAGAAGGCTTAGGATTTACTCACCTGACTAACGATGAAGAAGATAACAGTCATGGCAGCACAGGCCAAAGTGATAAGCATGAGGAACTTGAACCTGAAAATCAGACCCTATTAGGAAAGACAGGAATAGTGGTTTAATATATTCATTTTCTTTCTCTGCATACACACACACACACACACACACACACACACACACACACACACACACACACACAGAGGAAATTCTTAGGCAAAATATTCTCTATGTTCTTATATCTCATGAAACAATGATGCTGGAGCCTAGGAATTTACATTCACAACAAGTCACTAAGCTAACAAGTTCCCTGATAAATAGGTTATATAATTCTCCACAAGGGTTCAAAGTTACCAAATAAAAGTTTTCTTCAGTTATAATAAAATTTCTCCAGTTTTTTTTTTTTTTTTTGGAGAGGGGGATATATTAATCAAAGTGAGTTGAATGTTCTCATTTTTCACTCCAGCTCTGGAAACAGACAAGTTTGAGAAAGTGCTTTTTGTTTCCAAAAAAAAAAAAAATCAGGATTTAAGGAATGGTGCCTAGTGATTAAGATGTCTTCTGTGTAGACTTGCTGTGCTCCATGATTCTGCAGTTTCTCCTCTCTTCACAGAAAAAGCCATTTAAGCAATGAATCTAGTCAATGTGTCACCTTCATCAGAGATTGGAGGAGGCTAGGTGTTTCTCTTGAATAACTAATACAACCTAGAAGCAGACTACTGAACTCTACTTGAGCACCCACTGGCTATTTTAGAGAATGTGGAGTACTAAGAATCTGGGAAGCATGGGTCAGAAAGATTGCTCAGAGGATAAAGGTATTTGCCACTCACATTTAGTAACCTTAATTTAATTCCTTAAATCCATGTAAAAGACAAAGTAGAGAGCTGAATCTACACAGTTGTCCTCTGATCTCTACATTTGTGCTGTGACATGCATACTCACTCATACATCATATACACACACAAACAACAGTATTTTTTCTTTGAGTCTGGAAAGCAGATTATTTGGGCTAAAATCTGCAAGGGTTAGGAGGAAAACCATACCCCAAGCTAAGCCAGTTCTATGTAGTTCAGTATCCCATCCCATACAGTAAGCACCTAGGTTCCATCAAAAGTTTTTCCTAAAGAACCCACTGGGCAAGTTTTTATCTTACTACTAAGAGAACATGTTTACACCCCAGAAAACTTCAGGAAATAGTTGTTTGGGTGCCTTTTTATTTGTCCCAGGACCCTGTATGAGAAGTCTTTAATGTCTACTTATTTTGCTTATTTATTTATTTATTTATTTATTTATTTATTTATTTATTTATTTATTTATTTGTGTGTGTGTGTGTGTGTGTGTGTATGCTATGGACAGGCACACACACAGGGGGTGGGGAAGAGGGAGAGGTGAGACTTTGGGCACACACATGCCACAGTGAGTTTGTAGAGGTCAGAGAACAAATTTCAAGTGTCAGTTTTCTCTGACTGAGAGTTCCAGAGAATAAACTCAGCTTGTCGGGCTTGTGTGACAAGCACTTTTACTAGCCAGTTCATTTTGATGTCTCCTTAATGTGTATTTGAAACTAAAACTTTCAACTTCCAGAGTTGTGTGTTTACACATCCAGTTAGCGATCATGAGCATCAGCTCTAGAATGAGCCAAGATAGCTGCTTACCTCATAATGCAGCCTCCGGACTTTGCTCATGGCTGGGAGACTAGACTGCTTCCCACTGATGTTTCGAAAAACCTGAAATACCATGAAGCACAGAAACAGAAAATAGAGGCAGAGGCAGATCCCTGCCACAATGATGAAAGCCATCTGCAAGTGTACAGTGAAGGAAAGAGTAGGTTTGCCAAGAACATGTTCTAAGAGGGCACAGAACTCCTCCCAGCTGTGTTGGTGACACTCAACATTGTCTCCAAGTGTTCAAGTGGTTTTGAGGAAGGTACTACTATTAAAACCTGGTATTCTGATACCAATGATTGGGGTTTTCTGACACAACAATTTCAGAGAAGGGAATATTCAAACAGTGTTCTAAGCCAAGAAAAAGAGAAAAACTGTAGTCTATTTTTACTAAATAGAGTTGGGTCCCTCTTAGAGCTAGTGAATCAGAATCTACCTTTCAAGCATGTTTTGAGGAGATTCAAATGTGTTGTGAATTGAAACTCACTAGTATAGTGGATACTGGTTACTAAATGGGAAGCTGTTTTAAAATCAATGAAAGAGCTCAAATAAAGATGCCCAAGTCCCACCCTACATATACCTAATCAGATTTGCTAGAATCAGAAAACAAGTGTAAACATGCTTGGAAATCACTGTGTTGTGCTTGGACTTATCTAAGAAGAAGACTGAAATACCCTGGGGAATGTATAAATGGAGCAAGTTCAATAGCAAATGAAAGGGGGGTTGTCAAGGGCCTGGAGGACATATAGTAAAGGCAGGGACTGTGGATCCAGATAGTACACCCATCAGGGAAATTCTGAGACCTACCACTAGAGCCCAGACTGTGAGACACAGCAAGATCTAGAGCAGTGTGAACTGCTGTGAGCCCCAGGAATATATCATAAAAACTCAGCTGGTTATGGCAAAGTCACTACCTAGAGTGATCAAGGAATTGCTCCAGAGGAAGCCAAATTCCAAGGAGCTTTTGGTGTTATTTGGCTTGTTATATATCAGCTGTATTCTGTTATGAAAATCATCTATGCCCTCATAGTTTTCCCAATTGATTTTTCCCTAAGAAGCACTAACAGTGTGGACTGATCACTCTCTGGACATACACATTCAAGGTATTTGGAGAACAGCCTCAGGAAAGGCTTCCTCTGGAATCATATATCTCCCTTAGCCACTTTCAAGGACTAACAGTAATAACAGTCCACATGCAAGTCTCCTAATTTAAGGTAAATTCCACAAGGAGACACTGCCTACCTAGGTCAGGTGGACATTAAGTAATAGCTTTACACAATTTAGCTCAGACCCTCCTTTCTTACAGCCTTACTAACTTTATAGACCTCTAACTCCTTACTTAACCACTTCTAGGAATATTTAGAGAACCTTCTGTGCTGACAGCTATGGTCAGCCAGAACCCCAGTTCAAGCCTCCCTGTAATTATCGTCATTGGCAGCATCTGGCCAGGTCCATCCACAGACGGAGGAAAGTACTTTATCACAGATACCTCTGTACTCTCTAAGCATCCAGACTACCCCTTTGAGAAGGCCTGGTGGATGTGCCAATTAAACTTAACTTCCTCCTTTCCCAAATCTTACCTCTAGTTCCAGATCTCCCTTTAACTATCATTAGAGGCATCTAGCTGTACACAGGTTTCCCAGCAACCGTGCATACTTTCCCCCACCCTGCAGAAAAACGGCAGATAGCTTAGATAGATGTGAGCCACAAGAAAAAATAAGGCAATTTATTTTCTCCCATTAACCTAGCAACTTATAGATTCTTAACATTTTCTACCAATCACGTTTAGGACTATAGTTGAGCACATAAGATCCCTCTTCTTAGATATTACCCAAATTTAGCCTTTAGTTAATTCATTTCCCCATTGGTCACTTCCCTTTGGGGTTGCAAATGATAATTAATGGTTATTGCCCCTCTATGTGATTCTTATCGCCCCTCCGTTTGACCCTGGAAGCCTGGCTTTGCACTGCCAAGGGATAACTGCTTGTAAGTGTACATATACCAGGACTCCCAGGGCATGGGAGGACAAAGAGACAGAGAATGGGGAGGGATAAGGAGGATTTTGACCAGAGAGTACATGTGGACGAGATGGAAGATGAGGAAGAGTCAGATGGGGAAGTCCTAGCTGGGTAAGAACAAGGTGAAAAGGACCTAGATGAGGCAGAATTAAGACGAGAGAATTAAGATAAAACTTAGAGGGAGCAATAGATAAATACAGAGAGAGATCAGGCAAGAAAGGAGCTAGGCACAAGAACAGAACTGAAGCTATGTAAATAGGATGTTATGCCAGAGGAATTAAAGCAAGTGGACTATAGAGCTTGGTGTGCTGAGATTCTATTTCCCAAAAACAGTCCTCGCCGTTAGTAGTTCTCTCTCCTGAGCTTCTGGGATGTATAATATCAAGGCTGGTCCCTCTAATATTATACAAGAGTGAACTGTCAGGAACAGCAGACAACAGACTGTAGCTCCTCTCTCTTCTAACAACTGGATCCAAAATTGCCTATGTTTTTCCAGTACTTTGACAGGTATGAACTCTACATCCACCTTTCGTTAAGTAGTATATTTAATGCAATTCTTCCTTCTTTCCTATGACCAACAGTACCCTGGAATAAAGAGAAAATGGTTAATTGGTGCAGGACTTGAAATTTTATTTGCTTCCCTTGCCCTTCATCCTCTGTGTAAAATAAAAGGGTTGAACTAGAGGTTGCAATTGTTCATTTTGTACAATTGCCATTGTGGAGGTGGTTATCCAGTTAAACTATTGTCAAAGCTTCACACAAAGGCCTGGCTTTACCATGGAAGTCCTGCATACAAGTGACCTCAGACCCCAGTTTTCCCACAGAAGGCTTGCAAAATGGTGACTTTGGTCCCAAACTTTCTACAGTAGAATACTCCTTCCCACACAGGTGACCTCTGTTCTAGGAGCCAGAAAGTGCATCCATGGCTTAAGAAGAAGCTGCTACACCTTACAGAATAGATGATTTAGGATATACTTCAGACAAGAAACTTTGAACAGGATCTGAAACCCATGGCACAGGGAGAGCTTGCAAGCTCCTTCTTTGGCTGCTTTCACAGCCTGACAGCACATAGTAATTCTTCTCATTATTTATCTCTAATTGTTGTTATTGGTCTGAGGACCAAAACCCTGGCTGAGTTCATACATAGAGTATCAACTGAGCCACAGAAAATTATCATGGAGGCCAGGAAGAGAAAAATGAAGCCTCAAATTTATGAAGGAAGGATACAGCCAGTTCTGTTCCAACATCTGTAGTCCAGATACTGTAGAAAGGATTTGTAAGTTGCACTCCTCTATAAAAACAAAAACAAACAAAATGGAAAATGAAATACAAAGGCAGTGCAAAGCTTTCCCTTAACACTGGAACAATGGATGAAGACATGGGGAGTGTGGTAGGGGTGATGGTGTACTATATTTAGAAATTAAACTTCAGAGAGTATAAGGGGATGTAGAGCTTTAGAATATGATGAGCCCAAGCACTTTGCATGTATAAAGGGATAAGCCTTTGATTTAATCACAGACTTCATCTGAGGATATGATCTCTTCAATATTTCATCCCATGTACCCCCAACCACCATTCTTCATTTAAAAACTCCTCCCAGAGGCCGGGTGGTGGTGGTGGTGGTGGCGGCAGTGGTGGTGGTGGCGGCGGCAGCGCACGCCTTTAATCCCAGCACATGGTAGGCAGAGCCAGGTGAATCTTTGTGAGTTTGAGGCCAGCCTGGGCTACAGAGTGAGTTCCAGGAAAGGCACAAAGCTATACAGAGAAACCCTGTCTTGAAAAACAAACAACAACAACAAAACTCCCCCCAGAAAGATGGAAGTGGACACATAATGGCACATTTCATCTTGGAGTGACTCCAATAACTGCTTACCTCTCACACATGTCAAATATGAAGAGGCAGAAAGAGCCAACAGCAATTGGTCCAACTTGCTTCCAATACCCTGCAATGTGATTCCGCTCATGCTGATCCTAAGAAAAAATAAATTGAAGAAGGACAAGAGCAAAGCTATTCTATAGGTGATCCAGCTAATCACCTACCATGTTCGGGATAGATCACAGCATTAGAAACAAAAAGATAAAACTCTCAATGCTCATGTCAGCTGAGGGAGAACATTCATCACAAACCCCATTCACTGGGGCTATCAATAAGAATGCACAAAGCAATGTGGGATAACAGAGAATGATTTTAGGAAAATTTTTGGCCCACTTAATAAATTGTTGTTTAGCTGATAACTTTTGTTTACAAAGGTAAAACAATCACCAAGGAATAAAGACATTAAGGTTTATACTTCATTATGTCATTTATCTTCTTATCTTCATCATCACAAGAAACAATTTTCCACCTCCCCCACCTGCTTTCCAGTGAGTGTCTTGAGATATAGCCCAGGTTAGCCTAAAACTCAAAATCCTATTTAAGCCTCCTGCATTTGCCAAAAGTCCACCATGGAATATTCCTTTTGATGGGCAGTGAAAGAAAACATATATAAGAAATATCTCAGCCTCTTGCTGTGGGATGTTCTGTATGCTGTGACTGTGTTGCTCTGATTGGTTGATAAATAAAACACTTATTGGCCAGTAGCCAGGAAGGAAGTATAGGTGGGACAGGCAGACGAGGAAAATTCTGGGAAGAGGAAGGATGAGTGAGGAGACGCCAGGCCGCCGTCCAGGGAACAGCATGTAATGGCACACAGGTAAAGCCATGGAACACGTGGTGACACATAGATTAACAGAAATGGGCTGAGTTTAAGTGTAAGAGCTGGTCAGTAGTGAGCCTGAGCTAATGGCTGAGCAGTTTTAATTAATATAAGCCTCTGTGTGTTTACTTGGGTCTGAGCAGCTGTGGGACCAGGCAGGACACAGGAAAACTTTTAGCTGCAGCGTGAAGGTATGGATGGTGGCCTTTACCATTTTATTGTGAACAATCACCCTTTTTGGGGCCCTGCTGTGCTTATTTCATTGCCAGGGCATCTCTGCTGGAGAAGCCTTCATGTTGCAAAACCCTTCAGGATGGAATTTGGCTGTCGGTAAATTCCCCTCTTCTTACACTATTCTCCTGCATAGGGAACTGGCTTCAGAGATTTGATTTTAATGATCCATTCATAATGAAATTTTAAAATAGCCCCTGCACAAGCACTATGGCTCAATCGATCAAAGCATCTGCAACCAAGCCTGACAACATGAAATCAATCACTGGAACGAACCCACACAGTAAAAGGAGAGAACTCCACGTGCGTGCGCACGCACACACACACACACACACACACACAAATAAATAAATGTAATTTAAATAAACAATTTTAAACCACCTTTTCTGAAGTCTAACTTGAAAACAAAGTTCTTACTGATATAACTACATCTGAGCCACAATGTAAGGACAATGTCATTTTTATTTTTATTATGGTAACCCAGCCATGTGGTGATATTGTGTTCCCCAATATATTGTGCACCCTAATAAAATGATCTGGGGTCAGAGAACAGAACAGCCACTAGATATAGAGGCCAGAAAATGGTGGCACACACACCTTTAATTCCAGGAAGTGATGGCAGGAAGCAGAAAGGTATATAAGGTGTGAGTCACCATGCCTGGCTATTTCCAGTGTGGCTTTGAACTCACAGAGATCCGGATGGATCTCTGCTTCTGGAATGCTAGGATTAAAGGTATGTGTGCCACCATTTTCTGGTCTCTATATCTAGTGGTTGTTCTGTTCTCTGACCCCAGATAATTTTATTAGGGTACACAATATATTGGGGAACACAATATCACCACATAGTCTCTTAAAATAGAATTTGAGGCCACACAAAGCGGTCATTATCTTGGGTAAAAGGGGTCACTAGGTCATTTGGTCAAGCTGCTAGCTGGAAAAAAGGTATGAACACATTCCCTGGTAGTTAGCCTGCTCTTAAGGCCGGGGCAAGCAGAAGGGAAGTCAAAGGACAAGAAATAAAAATAATGATCAGATTTCATATATTTCTCTTCCATTAAATTATCACATTTTTTTCTAAAATGAAACAGCAAAAAAAAAAAAAAAACGCTATACATTAAGACTTTCCACTACATTTCACAAAATAGGGGCCTGAAATTAGAGTACTTGCCTCAAAACACTCACCAAGTTACTAGTGAAGAAGGAATGTGAATCTGCAGCGATAGAATTCAAACTGTGGCCTCTCATTTCTTTTACCTCCCCATAGCTTAAGAGAGGCATAAGCAGGCAGGCTTCAGCTCAGCAACGCTCTCAGAGCATCTATGAACACACAGATGTCCCTTCCCCAGGAGTTCTCACCATCATGTGCTCGCCACAGAAGATGATCCAGAAGGAAAGAAGCATTGCATAGAAGATGCCCTGTCGGATGTCACCAAATAACAGCATCCAGGTCCAATCAAATCCGATGGAAAACCATTCCACAGGGATATTGATAAAGGTCATGGAAATCCCAAGGGCAAAGATGACTCTGAGAAAATACCCAGAAGATCCAGGTTACTCTGAAGGGCAGACTTTAAACATCTGAAGCCAATTTTGAGAACTGAGATGTTATTTATTCAGACTTTAGCCAATTGATCAGTTTCTTAGCATTCATTTTAAGTTTCCACCCTGGGATACAAAATGTCCTAGTTTGCATCTCTAACTTCTGTATAACTAAATAGAGCCCTCTGAGAGATACACACTTTAACCCCATTGCCTTCTTAAATACATATGCTTTAGTATAACTGTACTATCTTACGTCTTTATAATATCACTGACCCAATCATTAAGAATATACAACATTAGTTATTGTTGTGATATCCTTGGCAAGTGTTAATTGTGTAAGCATATTTGTTTCAATAAAAACTATACAACTATACATAAATACAACTGGCTACTTGTTTTGCTTTTTCCTCACTATACTATTACTTGCCCCTTATTTATTAAAATGCCATTCTGATTTATTTAAATAATTTTCATATTCAAAAGATACATAAGCTTATAAGCCATAAACAAAGTACCAAGAATACTGTTAAGGCTACATATACAGATATGAGAAAGACCAATGTTTTCACTCAGGGAACTGCATATAATGGGAAAGACAGATGAAGAGGCATTAGAATAAATTGGTAAGCAACATCATCACAGTTTAGAGGCTCAGAACACTGCCAGGATTGCTGCTTACAGAGACAGAAACTAAGTGCAGAAAGAGTTGAGGAAATGAAGGTGAAAAGGTCAGAGAGCAGAGTCTAAATGGATGTAGAGAGGCTTGGAAGAGGCAGGAATATTTACAGATCTACATGTAGCACATCTTAGGAAATGATAGGACATGAAAGCAGAGAAATAAAATAGGAATAGCTCATGAAGAAACATATAAAGTTAATCTTAAAAGAGACTAGCAAGCCAATAAAAAATTAAAATAATAGAATTACACCATTCATTCACTTAACAAATATTAACTTAAAGTTATAAAGAAAGATAAAAATAGAAAGAGGATGGAGAGCAATTTACACAGGGAAATGGAGGGCGCAAAACAAAACACTGCAATGAGAAATATCAAAACAGGGCTTAAAGGAAATGAAGTATTAAGATACTGGGAAGTACTATTACAGATACAAGATCAACAAGTTCAAAGGCCCTGGGGTAAAAGCCTAGAATGTAAGGCATTTGAGCACCATCACAGGTGCTGCAGAGAACAGGAGATAAGATCCAATGGAGTTTATAGGACAAGGGGAAGCTAGTGGAGAGCTTTCAGCAGAGAGTGGAGTGATCTTACTGACACTTAAAGGGAACACAGATGATTTTGGTGAAAAGATTGTAGTAAATAAAATAGCTCAAGGATGTGCTTCTAATAATCCAGCTGAGCAATGATTTGGGTGATCAGATTAGGATGGTAGCAATGGAGACAGTAAGACTTCACAGGGATTGGATACAAGTGTGAATATCAAGTAGAATACTAAGTAGCCTCCTTCTTTCCAGTCCAGCAAGTAAAAAAGAAGAGTTGTCTTTCATTAATATGGGGAGGCCTAGGAGAGCTATAGGTGGCAGCAGAAAGTAGTCAAGTATTCTTTGTATTACATTTATTTTTCAATGTAAGAGAAGATATTAAATAAATAGCTCAGATGTTTGTATCTAGAGTTGGGAGAGGTTAAGACAAATATGTAAAATAAGAATCATCACACAATAATTTTTAATTTCCAGAGATCACTTTGGAAAAAGCAGAGCTAATAAAGAAAATAAATCCAAAGTCTCTGCCCTGGTTCAATGGTGTAAGAGGCTAAAAAGATGTGGAAAAGTAATGAAGACTAAGTGATGGTCAGAAAAGGAGACTAACAAGCAAAAACCAGTAAGGCTGTGTGAAGTAAAGAGGGTGATCAGCTATGCAGAATGCTGCTCATGAGTCCAAGGAAGGTGAAGACTAGAAACCAACCATTAGATTTGGACTGTGGAGGTGATTCATGAGACTGTAAAATGCCACAGAGATCAATCAATATTAAAGTGGAATCAAGAGAGAACTGGAGCATATATGTGGGCAAGATTTTTGAGGATTCTTGTAAAAGGAGAAAATGGCATGATTATTTTAGAAGAAAGCATTTTCTCATGATATAGTATATGTATATGTAATATTAATAGAAATAAGACAGCAAAAAAGGAGATGTTGATGTGAGAAAGAAAAAGACTATATCTACAGGAACATCTTCCTGTGTGTGGGAGGGTTTGAATTCAGTTGAGAGTGAAACAGTTCATCCACTAACAGAGAAAGGTCCATTAAAAGAGAAATCTGACTATGGGGAAGAACAGCAAAGACATCAATGTGAGGAGGAGCACTCTGAAGATGTAAGAATAATTTGTATGTGAAATCTGAAGGAGACATGAAGAGTTCATGACAACTCTTAATCAGTTCACTAGCTGAAGTCACACACTGGCTTCTTGAATCAGACACACAAAATAGGAGTATGGCAGATTATAGGAAATTAGCATTTTCTAAGCGTGATCTGAATCAGTTCTTACTTTTCCAGGAGCACTGGGGGTCTTGACATCATGGTGATCCTCCTCCAATACCACACCATAATGATGAAGATGCTGGGTGTGAGGAAGGTCTTCATAGCAAACCACACTTTAGTGAAGCCTCCATTTTGATGGATTCCCTAGACAGAAACCAATTATAATTTTGGAGATGAATATACATTAGTGTTATTTTTATACAACTAAATACAGATGAGCAAACAGTTTGCCTACTCAAAAATGTTCATAGTTACAGAAGGTATTGCCCTCATATACCCTTTGTTTCCTCCTCAGATATCATAGCAATACACTGAAAAATCATAAAAATGGGCCATGCTATACCAAGGGATTGATTAAGAATATAATCAAAGATTTTTCTGTAGGGTCTTCATTCAACATTGGAGATACCACATAGGTCCAGTAAGCAGTATTGGAAAGTAAATTCAAATTATGTTCATAACATGTCATTAATTAAAAAAACAAAAGCAAAAAGCACAAGTCATTACAGATAATTGTTATGTTTCTCTGTATCTTTACATGTACTTTTAATTTGCTTTTTAATTTTCTTATGTGCATCTGAATGAGTTTTGATTTAAAATGTGGCCTCTTTATGCTATGTTCTATACCCTTCATTAAACAAATAACATGGAAAGAACTTAAATCATCACTGTTCTCACTAACATTTGTGACTCATGGTAAAAACATGTTAATTATTCTTATCTTGCTTGTTATGCAATCAAGATCATACTATGACCTTAGAAGTAACGACAATAATTTTATGTGATCTTAAGACCAATTAAGGAATTACAAAGCCCACCACATCCATGGAGAGAGGCTAAGGCACTGAACTCCAGTTTCAGGTTGCCTGTGCCAGGACCCTGGCATGTTGGCATGGTTGTCTGTACCACCATGAACACCTTGAGCAGTAAACAAAGTAAAACAGCTGCTTCTACTTATTTTTTCTTTTCCCCATATGATTTATCTTTTATGTTTTTATTTATTTTTGAGGATTTCATACAATATGCTTTCCTCCCCCAACTCCTTTCAGATCCTTCCCTACCTCCTGCCCCCCCTCCCCCCGCTACTTTTGATCTTTTCCTCTTATTTAAAAAAAAAAAAACAAAACAAAAACAAAAATCCCACAAAACAAGCAAAAACAGAAAAACAAAAAATAAAATATGGAGTCTAATCTGTGGTGGCCAACTACTCTTGTACATGAGGCCTGCTCTGGAGTGTGGTTGATATACACAGTGTCTGTCATTTCATTGGTGAAAACTGATTTTTCCCTATCATAGCAAATATAAATAATGAATAGCTTCTTGGCTAGGAACAGGACTTTGTGTTCACTTCCCCTCTTCAGTGCTGAGATTTTGCCTGGATTTAACGTGTACAGGGCTTATGTGTGCATCTGTCCTGTTGTGTCTGTAAAATTATGTTTCCTTGAAGTTATACACCACTCTAGTGCTTACAATCTTTCCATCCTCTCTTCCATAAAGACCCTTAAGCCTTGAGAGGAGGGATGTGATAAAGACATCCATTTAGAGGTGAGCATTCCAAAGTATCTCATTCTCTGAATGTTGTCTAGTTGAGGCGCTCTGTGTTAATTACCATTTACTGCAAGAAGACACTTCCCTGATAAAGGTTGAATGATGCACTCATCTATAGGTATAACAATATCTCATTAGGAATCTTTTTATTGTTATGTTCCTTTAGCAGAATAACAATAGTAGGTTTTCCCCAGGGCCCACGATGTATTCATTCTCAGGTTCTTGGCACCATTAATAGTGTCAGGCATGTGTGCCATCCCATGGAGCATGCCTTAAATCATCAGAAAGTGGTTAGTTATTCATATAACATTTGTGCCACTATTCCACCAGTGGACATATCTTGCAAGAAAGTCGTTATTGTAGCTTGCTAGTTGAGATTGACAATTATTTTTTATCTTCCAGTACTATACATAGCACCTTTTAGCACTATGAATGCTAGCCATTAGGGGTGAAGCTTCAAATTGAAAGTCAGCTAAATTATTCCATGTTCTCTGTATGTAGATGTTGAATTATCAGTCTAAAAATATGGCCTTTTGGTGATCTTAACAAAAAGACCACTTAAAATACTAGGTGCAGAGATGTACAACTAGCCAAGGTGAAGAGAATAAGATGTTGAACTATCAGCCCTAAAGGAAAATGGACCATACCTCTCTTCCTATGTTTCAGAGATCATTTCAGAAGAGAGGGCTGAAAGAGCCAGAAGAGGTGGATAACCTCAAGAAAGCAGCAGCTGGGCACAGCAAGGCAGCTGTACCCATGAACTCATAGCAGTTGTCAGAGAATGCACAAAACCTGTACAAGCCTGACCAGACCAAATCACAGCATGGAGAGGAGAGTTGGGCACACAACCCTACTATTAGCCACAGAGCAATTGGCAACTTAGAAACTGGGGAAGGAAGGATGGTGTTTTATGTAAGAGTGCAGTCCTTGGTAAGTCAACCAAGCTCCAATGGAAGACCATATACCCAATAATATTTTGGGTAGTACAAATTGGTCTTGAAGGTTTTTTGGTTTGGTCTGGTTTGGTTTGTTTTTTCATGGCACAAAGTTGGGAGGGTAGGATCCAAACATGGATCTGGATAGAGTTGGGGGGCCAAATATGATCCAAATACATTATGAAACTCAAAACTCTTAAAGAACTCATTAAAATTAAAATATTAATATTAAAAATCATGCATACAATTAAATAAATCAATACAAATCATTTTAATTTAGCATTTTGACCATCATGGTTATGTTGTTAATCCCAATTCTCAGATAAGCCAACAGATAAGCATATAGATGGCAGGACAAACAAAGAATTTCCTTCCCATGTGCTTCCAGGGCCCCATATGTGCAAAGAGATGGAAGAACTAAGACAGAGCTCTTTTAACACATATATAAATACTGTATTCTTGACTGCTGCTTCAAGGGCACAGTCTGTTGGTTCAGTTACACTTACTTACCACCAACCGAATATCCTTTATCTCCCCAATCCCAACATTGATTTTCTTCTTCTCATTCACTGGTAGCCGGATATTTAGAAGGTAATACTTATGAGCCACTGACCCAATCTCCATGAAAGGAAGGACATCACATTCATAATAACGACCTTCATGCTCTAGAGTCTGGAAAGAGATTAGATGGTTTGAGGCAGATTACTATTTACAAAACTATATGCATTAATTTGCATTGAGCTCCTATCATTATTTTTTAAAATGCTAATGTGTTAAGGTGCACATTAAAGGCACAGATAAACAAGGAATCCTGGAATCTTGGTGTCAACTGAACTATTTCACAGAAATGGAGGGAGGGAAGACAGGGAGAGGGAGAGAGGGAGAGAGAGGGAGAGAGGGAGGGAGGGAGAGAGGGAGAGAGGGAGAAAGGGGGGAGAGAGAGAGAGAGAGAGAGAGAGAGAGAGAGAGAGAGAGAGAGAGAGAGAGAGAGAGAGAGAGAGAAATCAGTTCCATTTGAAGTAAAACCAAAAAAAAAATTTAGGTAAAAAGTAGAGATCTCTTCTGTCCTTTGATACCTTTCTCAGACTTAGAATCCACATTAGAGCTTTACACCAGACTGCTCTCTGGTCTACTATTTTACGGAACTCCTAAGAGACCTCCAAAGACTCCTTGTGTGTCCAGGAGGAAAGCCATTGCTGAAGTCCATCACAATCTAAATGACGGCTAATTATTTTCACAGTGAAATATAAAAAGTTAAAATTATCTTCCTCTTATTGATCTGACTCCCCCCCCCCACCCAAAAATAATAAGTAAAGCAGCAGTATATTGGTGCTGGAGAAATGGCTCCACAGTTAAGAGCACTTGCTGTTCTTGCAGAGGACTCAAAATCCATTCTCAGCATCCACACAACAGCTTAACTGATTATAACTTGAGCCCCAAAGCACCTTATTCTGACTTCCATGTACTGTGTGGTTGTTTGAAGAAAAAGGCCCCCATAGGGAGTGGCACTATTAGAAGGTGTGGATTTGTTGGAGTAGGTGTGGCCTTGATGGAGGTAGTGTGTCACTATGGGCTGAGCTTTGAGGTCTCCCATGCTCAAGCTATGCCCTGTGCCTGCAGATCAAGATGTAGGACACTCAGCGTCTTCTTTAGCACCATGTCTGCCTGAATGCTGTCATGTCCCACCATGATAATAATGGACTAATCTCTGAAACTATAAGCCAGCCCCAATTAAATGTTTTCCTTTATAAGAGTTGCCATGGTCATGGTGTTTCTCCAAAGCAATAGAAACCCAAACTAAGACAGACTCCATGTAGGTGGTGTACTTACATACATACAGAAAAAATGCTCATACACAACAATTAAAAATGTCTTTAAAAACAAAATAAAAAAGAGAGAGAAGTTGCATACAGTGCCTTGAATGATGGGATTAATTTGCTAGAGATGCTCCTTCAGAATTTTCTGCACCCAACCTGAACCTCCTAACAACCCAACAGCCAAAATGGCAAGAGACAGCTGAAAATGTAACTAAATAGAAATTTAGCCCAGTACCCAAGAAAGCCTCTTGAACTTCCTAACAATTTAAGAAAGACTGTGTGGTAGTGGGGAAATAAATTCTGTACACATCTCAAAGCATCCTGTGTATGTGATGTGCCTATTAACGGTGGGTATGGGAGGTGAACATGATGTGCAGAAGTATGAGCTGTAGCAGGCAGAGATTTTTTCCAATTAAGTAACTGGAAGTCTGTCATTAATATCAGATCTACACTCAGGAAAACTTGATGTGTCCTGAATGAGTGAATAGAGGTGAATTATTTCTCATTCCTAGTTCCAAATTGTTTCATGTGGTATTAATAATTTGTAAAATTAGAGAAAAATAACTAGTAGAGAATCCAGTGAGAAGATGAGCAGGAGTCTATAGGTTAGCATAGAAAGGATTCAGCACCTTTTGTAATGGTGGCAGGACCTCTTTACTGGACAGTCAGGATATTGTACTAATCCCGAATACAATGAACAGGAGACACTTATAGATTAGGTGCAATAAAACTGGCAAATAAACAGTTCATGCACTTCTACTTTCTTTTTCCCTTCCTTGCCTAGTCAAACATGACTAGTCAATCTCTTTCTAGCCTAGACATGCATCAGTAATGAATCATGAAAACTTCTCTTTTAAAGTATGAGGGTTTTGTCAGACATCACCAGTTGATTAGTGGTGGCAAATAAGATTTTAAAAGTAAAATAATTTTGTGTAAAGAGTTCTGCTTCTTTCTAAACAATGGATGCATATTGGAGGATTCTTCCTATATAAATGGTCTCTCTGCCCTTGAACTCCTGTTTCCTCCTTTACTTACAAATAATTCTAGAAATACAAATCTGTAGGAATTAATGGAAATAAATTTCAAGCTGCTTAGCAGGATTAATGTCAAATTCACCACATGCAGTTAGGGGCTGGAGGGTTTGCTTGTTTCCTTGTTTCCTTCCTTCCATTTTAATGTATTTACTTATTTGTATGTTATGTATATTGAGTACTTTGCCTGCATATATGTATGTGTACCATGCTTTGGTTTTGCTTTCTAAAGTTCTACCTCTACCAGTATTTATAGCTCTTAAGATAAACAATATTCTTATTTTCCCCCCTTTCCACTGCCTCCCACCTGCCTTCCCCTCCTCCCATCCTCCCTCCTCTCCCCTAACTCTGGCAAAAGACTGACTAATTAGGGCAAATTACAGCAGGTAGCAACTTGACTTTTTTTTTTCTTGACTTCACAATCCACTAGAGACTGTAGAGCTTTAAAGCAATTTCTCATTTAATCTTCAGAATGAAGATTAAACTTTACCATAATCAAAATGCATAGATTTGATGATTCATTTTCTTCACACCTTTCAAAGTCTGATCTCTTTTGAGAAGGAGATCAACACATCATAAAGATAATTAAGCTCCTGTCACTGAGAAGCAGTTACAGGCAGCGCCCCCACACATACCTCCCAATGTGTAAGGGAAAGTGAAAAACAACTTCTTTTTATGTGGATAAAATTTTCTGTATCCAAAAGCCCTGAAACTTACATTTAACCAGGCTCTCCTCTGAAAGATACAACCAGCATCACATATAGAAGGAAAATTTCCTCAACTTCATAAAAAAATTTGAAATATTAACTATGTCTCTATTTCCTCCAGCTTTTAGATCCCTCTCATTTTACCTATTAAATTACCTTCAAGAACCTACACAAAATAATTCTTTAAGGCTGTTTAGGAGAGAACTCTATATTTAGACAGTCAGCAAAGAAAAGGCCTGGGATAGGACTTTTCAAGTTTTGTTCATTCTAAGAGGATGAGTTCAAAGTGCACTGAAATGAAGTCTTTGGTCTTTTCTCCTGTGATTTGAGTCAGGAGTTATTATGGCTTGAATGTCCCTGTCAATAAAAATATTGAAATTCAATTGTTATCATGAATTGGTCATAGCGTACTGCTCTCATGAAAGAACTAGTGCTGTCATTGTGAAGATGGGTTAGTAATCAAGAGAGAAGTTTTGCTATGTGAAGCCCACTTTGAAGCCCATCTCCTCTCCCATATGGGTATGATTACCTTCCTACTATGTTTAGTGTACTATAAAAAACCTGAACAGATTCCAGTGTCAGGACTGTAGACAGCTTCTACAAGTATGAACCAAATAAACTTTTTTTTTTTTTTTTGTATTTTTGAGACAGGGCTTCTCTGTGTAGCTTTGTGTCTTTCCTGGAACTCGCTTTGTAGGCTGGCCTCAAACTCACAGAGATCCGCCTGTCTCTGCCTCCCGAGTGCTGGGATTAAAGGTGTGTGCCACCACCGTGTGGCCCAAATAAACTTCTATTATTTATAATTTATTTACGTATCAGCAGAAAATAATGGGTTTTAAGTGTGGCCTGGGAATCTGTATTTCCCATAAGCTCACAATTTACACTGATGCCCTTGGTCCTCAAACCACATTTGTATAATGAAAGCCAAGAAAACAAACTGCAACATGTACTTGCATGCTGGGTAGAGTTTGTCTATGAGAGTTACAGTTGTCACTTTCTGTCTATGTGGCCCATCTTGTTAACATTGCATTTGACTCACAAGCATGTCTCAGACATAATGTTAAATTATAAAGCCACTGTACATGTAGGTGTTCATGATTTCCTCTGGTTCTTACAAAAAAAACAAAAAACAAACAAACAAACAAAAAAACCCAAAAGTTACTATACATTATCTTTCCATTTTGCATAAGAAAAAAAATAGAGCAATTATAAAGCTTGATTGTGAACACTGAGTTAGTGACAGAACCTGGAATGGGGGCCACATATGTTTTATTCCAAATCCATGCTTTAATTTAGATTAAAAATATAAGGCTATGTATGCTAGGCATGGTATTCATAGGCTTCTACCTGCCATTCTCACTACTAACTTTGTCCTTACACTTAATGGCAAAAGCAAAGTTTTAAAAAACCAATGCTAGAAGAAGGATCAAATTTGTCTGATCTTACACAAGTCCTTCAGGAACAACTAAGATGAAGACAACAGATGAGAAAAAGCATGATCAAGAATTTCTTCAGTGGAGAGTATAGCCTTTCTTTCACTTCAGAAAAAGAAAATGATAACATTCTGTCCCTTATGCGACATCAAAAATCACTTGATTGGTGTTACTCCATGCCAAGAAAGAAACACTGTCAACTCAGCAAAAAAGGTACCCTACCTTGGGGGATGTAAAAGTACATTTGAGTTTACGTGGTACTCTTTCATGGGCCATTTCAGTCCATTCAGAAAACATATCATCACGGTAACCCAGGGAAACATCCATGGAAACTTCTGCATTTTCTCCTGCAAGAGAAAAGATGGACAATTTATAAATGATTTTGGGAAAAAACTTTGGAAACATTCCAAAATTTTCACATGCTCTTCCATGGAATCCACAAAACAAAAGAGATGTTATTATCAAACTCAAACCAAAGATTGAAGTCACAGTACTAAAGTCTAGTATGGATTCTGGATCTCTTCCCACAGCAGAGTGGGAAGAACTTCCATTTAAACTCTACCAGAGATAAGAACTTCATTCTCTCTGAGGCAGAACAGTTGCTCGAAATCTGAATCATGATTAGAAGCTATCCTCCTGCAACTTGCACTACTGGTCTAAAATATGCCTATAAGAGCAACATGGAAGTTGCTGTACCACATAAATGCCTTAAATACTTGACTATCATAGTTTCTTTGCTTGTTTTTGTGGTGATATTTTATTTGTGCTGAAATGTGATATTTTATTTGTATGTTAATAAATAAAGTTTGCCTGGAGATCAGAGGTCACATAGTAAGCCATAAACAGAAGTCAGGTGGTGGTAGCACACGTCCTTAATCCGATCACATGGCAGGCAGAATCTCTGTATGGTCAAGGACACAGCCAAGCAAGGTAATACACACCTTCAATTCCAGTACCAACCATAGAGACCTGGAGGTCTGTATAGATAGGCAGTGATGAGGAAGTGAGGTGGCTGGGCTTCGAGCCAATGAGAAGGCAGAACAGGAAAGCAATAAAAGCACAGGTTAAACAGGAAGAAGCTCTCTCTTGGGGAAGCTACTGCATGGTGGTAAGCTAAGGCTAGTCGTGGCTATTTGCTATTTTAGTGAAAGCGCTACATGCTACATAGCATGTGGCACACACCTAATCAATTTCTACTAAACTAGAATACATACAAATTACAAGGAATATAGAATGACTGTTTTTCCACTTACCAGTCTGATGAGGATTAAAGATGATTCATTATTACTGTCTAATATAAGTAAAGTAGGATTTCTTGATATCTACAGCCTAAACTCCCATAGAGGGATTATTCTGGAAAAGTGAACCAATTTATGTGACCCAGTCTCAAGCCACTTAGAATATATCAACTGCAGAGTCGGGTGAGGTACAGTGCTTCCAACAGGGTAATTGGACAAATAACTATACACAAAAAGGCTTCCTCTCATTAGTACTATCTAAGCAAAGACTATACTTGAATATCAGGCAATATAGAAAACCAGGAAGAACAGCAACTATTCACATAGGAAATTGTGTGCCGCCACCCCCTTCCTCCCACCCCTGCCAACTCAACAAAAGCAATCCTCAGAGCTTGGCTATTTCCTTGGCTAAAGACCACACTAGCTTTAATCACTCCATATATAACAGTCTCATGGTTAATAAGAGGACCTGGACTTCATTCCCAATGGTAAATTTAATAGTAGAACCATCCTTTCTCCCTTTCAACACTAGCGTTAGGAACTAGCACTTTTAGTGATGTTGAAAGGACACTTGGATAATTGCTAGATTCAAGAGCACACATGTAAAAAAAAAAAAAGGTAGAAGTTATTAGCTCCCTCAGGTTACAATAGTAGTTCACATATTCTTTTCCTTGGAAAACTATTCTCCTTGTAAGAATAGGGCATGTCTTATACATGGGTAGAGTAAACTCAATTTGAGCCTCACCCTATTAAAGAGTTCCACTTTTTTTTTGTTTTTGTTTTTCAAGACAGGGTTTCTCTGTATACTTTTAGTGCCTGTCCTGGATCTCACTCTGTAGACAGGATAGCCTCAAATTCACAGAGATCCGCCTGGCTCTGCTTCTTGAGTGCTGGGATTAAGGGCATGTGCCTTGGCCGCCCGGCAAGAGCCCTACTTTTAATGTTTGTGGGTCTCTTTACTTCCTCTCTTCTTCATAGAATTTGAAGATTCTAGGGGACAGCAAATATGCAAATCCAGAGCCTACCCATCCAATACCCTATTTCTTTCTTGTGCTACTCTGGAAATACTCTTTTTGGACAAATCTGATCTTGTTTTCAGGGTTTATATGTTTTTCCCCAAAACCTGGTATTCAAGATGAATAAATTATTATTTATTAAACAACCATTTGTGTGGTCAATAATGACTAAAAGGCTGCTATTCACAGAAAGACACACACAGAACTAGATCTCAGAGTTTGGAATGCCCTTGCACAAGCAACAGGGCTCCTCTCTATGAGATGAGTAGGAGATGAAAGGGGTTGAAATGGCTTCCTGATCAGTCATATTCTTGCACATAATTTTGAGCAGTCCAAGAATCCTAAATTTAAAACTGGTATTCCAGTTCATTATGAAAGTAAATCTGTTTTAATCAGAAAGTAGAATATATTTGACTAAACAGTTTGTTTGTCAGATATTTCACCGTGAAATACACTGTGAAACAGTAGGTATGCCTTCTATGCCTTCAGGGAAACTCTGACCCTGAACACCCCCTCTCCAAAAAAAAAAAAAAAAAACCAGCAATAGGCCTAGGTAGAGCAGATATCTCAGGCAGAGAAAAGATCAAACAGGTTTAACCCCTGCCCTGGCCCAGCATCAACAGTTTTTCTAATCTGCTGAGGATTCTCAAAGAAAAGCAATAAAAAAATGTACACACTATATTAATATACAGTTACTCAATTTTAAGTGGCAATAATCTCTGAGGTTAATTTAAATTGCCTAATTTAATTTTCTATTGACTTTAATAACTAGACATTGATATGTTCTTTTGATTAATAAGTAAACTGAGGCTTTCAGATAATGAACAACTGCATAAAGCTATAGTGTTGATATTAACATGAGAAAGATAATAATCCTGAAGTAGCCTTAAAAGAAAATTATCAGGACTGAGAACACAGCTCAGTGGCAGATCCTAGGTTCCATCCCTAGAACTGCCGGGGGGGGGGGGGGGGGGGGGGGGGGTGTGTGTGTGTGTGCAGGGAAAGACGAAAAGAAGGAAGGGAAAGAAGGAAAACTCTCCATCATATCAGTTACCCATTTCTTTTGTGGTTTTGCTGCAAGAGTAATGACAATAATTAATTTGCTTCACTATAAGTAATCCTTTTGCTATAAACATTCTAAAACATCATGTTGTATACATTAAATGTGCCCAGAAATTTCTAAAGACCATCACTTGATTTGTATCACTTAAAGAAAATTGTCTAACTTGCCATAGAAAATGCTCCTCAAATCAGTCAGAGAATACAACTTTCATATGAATCACCCCTAGCCCTGCTGTTCCTCCTACTTTCATCAGATAAAACAGTAGAATTCGAGGAAAACATCCAGCAGCAAAATTAATCATGCTTCATGGAAGAGCTACTCAACTCTGATCAATGCTTTCTACTGTGTTCCCAGCAGGGACAAGGTTCAAAATCATCTCTGAAACCCTCTAGCCAAGCATGGGGTCAGAATATGTTGAACCAAAACAATACCTCTTCTGTGAAGAACTTGAGAATTGTAGTGTGAGTCAAAGAGTACCAAGTTGGAAGCCTGGGGATACCAGTTCCTGTGGTTCTGTCTGTCACTGCATATATAGTAAAGGCTGACTAATGTGGGTGGGGAATGAGGCTCTCTAAGGAGGAAGTACTGTGCGTTTCTTCAGTAGTCAATGTGAAGTAGTACTAATCCATTTTACCAGACTGTCTTAGTTTTTTAAAAAGAGAAAAGCCAGAAATTAAGGTTTTGGGGGTTGTTTGTTTGTTTTTCTTTTTAAATAAGAGTCTGGTTGGAGTTGAGTAGTTTTTCCATGAAGTGTGCTGCCTGGGTGTCTTTTGAATTCTGTTTCTCAGACAAAAGTTGTAGGGAATTCGGGACTTGGGGAGTGATTCATATGGAAATTAGAGACTCACCTCTGCCATTCACTATTCATGTGCTCCTGGGCAATTTATGAAACTTCTTTCCAAAAAATGAAACATGGATACACATGAACATGTGATAAGGAAGCAGCTGTTCTTATAAAAAAATCGAAAGAAACAATTCTCAATTTTTTTTTTTAAATTCAGTAATCTGTTTACTAAAAACATCCTTCTCCAAAATCTCAGTGCAGGTCCACCAATAGAGCATCAGGAAACCTCAGACACACCACAGTTTTTCATGCTGACCAACACATTTTTTCTTTTTTTTCTCATCTTTCCAACAGATCAAGTTCAAAATTCTCTAGCTGTTTACTATATTTATGCCTGTTGTGCCTTAATTTTACACATTATCTAATTCCCTGTGTAGTTGGAGACAAGGATGCTATTTTTCCTGTGTTTGAAGAACTCAGAAAGCCAATATTCCGAAAACATCTCAGTGGCTAATGTGTCCTGGCTTATAGCCTCAACATTTTGCCATTTTTCACTGGTATATGTGAAATCTAGAAATACAGGATAAGTGCTGTTCAAATAACCTGGGATACTGCTTGGGCAATGCTACCTGACACCTTGTAGACATAATTAAGACTGCTTATCCTATTTGAACTCCTTGGGAGATGGGCCAGATGGCCAAAGTTACATATGACATTGGGGAAAGCTACCTATAAAATATTCTGCTTATATCAATTCCGTGGAATAAGGGCATAACGTATTAGAATAAGTATGTTTAGATCTGAAATCAATGGTTTTCCACTCCTATTCTGGATTGGCCCTTTAGTGTGGAAGTCCATCATTCTACTGTGCTGTGCAAATTTCATGTTTTTCAAATACTTTTGGACACATATTTGGGTTAGTGAAAAATTCATTTCAGAATATAGGGAAGGGAACTAACTATGTATTGGCACTATAGTTCATTAAAATTAGAATTACTACTTCCACCAGGTTAAGGGGTGGCACTCTCACATGAAGAAATTTACAGGACTATGTAAGAGCAGATATGGTCTGTGGGGGGTCATCACAGACACAAAGATCTCAGAAAGACTGGTGTCCTTCCACATCAGGAAACATGGACTATAAGGGAGGCTTTATACTAGTCACACTGCCTTGTTCTGCTAAGCAAATTGAAAGTAAGAAGTGAGATGGCAATGGGTGGAGGTGGGTGACAAAGAGCTATAAAGA